TCCACCTCCCAAGGGCCGACCCTATCCGTGTGCTGCATTGTCGTCCGAACTCCTAAAGTCTAACCAAAGTCCATATTGGTCCTTTAGATACTTTAACTTCTGTCCAATGTTGATATGCAAATAGCCCTTGTGAATACAGCTGATTTGGTTTACCCTCTACCGTGACCACAGTTTTACTTATATGCGGATAATAGAATCTTTGGGGATTTTTAACGGCCGGATCTTTGAACAGGATCAAAACGCCTTTCAGGCTTCTAATCGTTTGATCAATGCTGATTTTTCATAACGTGTCTGACTTTTTTACAACTTGTTTCTTCCAAAAATGAATTTGGTAAAAAGATTAAAACGGGACCTACTTTATACTATGTGTTAAACGGGCCCAAACGGAGTTTCGTAAGACAACAGCTTCAAGTAGCCTAGTACCCAAAGACACCGAGTTACCTCCCGACCAAGTTTAACTGTGCAATAACCGAATTGAGAGCTTTTTCTTTGTTTTTGAAATTAGAGTTATACACCCATTCTTAAATGAATGAATCGCGTAGTTTTTTCGATTTAAATTTGGGACCTTGTGAAGCTTGCCTGGCGCGTTCTAGGTCAGTCGCCTTAAATCCGCTAATGGCCGATTGACAGTGCCCATAAGCTAATGTATCAATGCCATTTGGTAATATGTACCGCTTCATGTCTAAGTGGGACAGACTTAGTTTATTTTGCAAGATTGTGTATAATTGATGCTTGTCTGATCTGAATAGCTTTTGTGTGTTATAATGCTGTACCCGTTCAAATAAGTATCTTTTATAAGCCTCGTGCGATAAGTGTGTTTCGGTTACCACTTTAGTGACTCCTTTCACTTTTTTCAAATTTTGGTCCTCCGTTAAAATGGAGTACATTGTTGGTCGAATGCAAATAGCTTCCTTTATCACTTTGCCACCAAATTTGTCCTTCGTCTTACCGATTACTTTTTTTTATTTTTAGCATCACATGCGTAGGTGGATAGTTGCTAAAGTCGAATAGCCCGCGCTTCTTACCAAAGTAGTCGTTTCGGTCCTCAGTTTGAATTTGAACGAGCAGCTATCGGTATCTGTATGAAGTAAGTTTATTTTGTCGCCAAAATTGGCTATCAGTTCGTTATAGTAAAAGTCATACATTAACGTCTGAGACGGGTCTAGCACGCTTAAGCCACAGTAAATGGGCTTATTTAACTTGGTCTTTATGCGATACCTTTCGACGAATGAGAGCGTAGTCGATTTGTAGTTTGGTTTACTAAGTTAGCTTCTTATATTGATCTGCGTCTTGAAGGTCCTTCAATAGATGTCCATTGATTCGGTATCTCAGGTATTCCATCGTCTTGCCAAATACCGAATTGTTCATCAATTTGAAGAAGTCTTTCTCAAAATCAGACTTGGCTTTTTTTACGCAATCGGTGTTTTTATCAATGTAACTCTTCATCCAAGACGCCTGTTTAAACGACATTACACGGTAAACCTCTTTTAACTGGAGACCGAGTTGCAGGTAGGTAATGTTTGATTAGTGTGCCTAAAGTGGCTATGAGTTTATCTACTGAAGTTACTAATTATTTGCGTCTAAATACATGATGTGTTGGCATATTTGGATCGTAGTCTGGTAAACTCGAATTATTTGCCTTTGCATAGCGCTTTGCACCCATGCTAGAAATGCCGCCTCGTTTGGCCCTTTCAAAAAATAGGTGCGAGTCAATGTCTGTCAATAGTCGGTTCCAATTTAACCCCGGAATGTTTTAACAACGCATCCCATGATAAACCCGGTGAAGTGTAATAGTTGGCTGGGTCAAGGCCATATTTTCTTTTACACACTTGACGGAAGTTCTCAAATACACCCGCCAGTAGTAGTACATCCGTTTCTACGTATTGTGGCAGTCTCCCAGGTTTTGGCAATTGAACGTTCGCCATACTTTTTGCGCTCTTAGGCCCACGTGTTCTTTTTCTGTAATTGTCTCTTGCTTCAAGCTACTATAAAATGCGTCTCTTGGTGGTAAGTTAATCTCTTCAAATCCGTCAAAGGAGTCGATGTATTTATGAGGATAAATTCCCTTTTCTAAAAGCATGTCGGTGTCATTTGGGAATCTTCCGCGAAATAACTTGATATCATCCGGGGAACAATTTTTAATCAACCGATCGAGTGAAGCGGCCATGAAATAAAATGAGTCGAGAAACCATAGTTGCCCAAAGCTAAACGAAATGTAATTTTCGGTGTTTTAGCGATTACTTTAATCTCCTTCCCGTTGAACTCGCGCACACCTTGCATGATTAAATGCGCGTCATATTTCTCCAAATTGTGTAAAATCACGGGAATGGGCGTTTGATTAGGCACGACTCTTAACTTGAGATTACAGTTGGCATGTGCGGGGCCTCTGTATTTACCCATTAGGTGGCAGTGGTCTCTAACTTTGCTGAAATTATTGATTGGCTTTGTGCGTGCCATACAAAGCAACTCCCTAAAACCAGATTCGTTAATTTACTGAACTAAAAGCGGCTTTTTCGTTCTTTATTTTCGGCTCCTTTGGAATTGAACATTGGTAATCAGATTCTTTATTTTTAATCGATATGCTTTTTCATTTCATTTTTCATATCGATGTGATTCAATTCGTGGAATTTGTGAAATTGGTGTTGGAAAGCTTATGTTTGTGAAATTTAAACCGTCTTTGTCCGTGTAATTTGAAGGTCTGTCTTCGTGTATTTTATACCTTGGTTTGATTTCCAATTTATTTTTGACATTGTCTGTGTATAACTTTAAAGCTGCTCTCAATGCCCAGCGAATGCACTGTTGATCATTTTTGTTTTGAACGTTTATGAATGCTTTCTTACGGGCTAGTTGTTCAGGTAACGGAATGCAAGTTGCGCCCACCGGATTATGCTTTACCACGTTGATGTAAAAGGCGACTACTTTATCAAAGACCCAACCAGACTCTCTCTGTTCGATTTGCTTTTGTCTTTGCTCCGCAAGTGCATATTTGATGTCTCGTTCAGAGATGACTACGTTATTTTTGCTCAAAAAGGTAAAGGTGCCAAGTTCGGTCTTTTCGGGTTTTTCCAATTTGAACTGAACTTTGAAAGCCGTTTGCAATTTATAAGAGCCGAGTTCTCGAAATTCGTCCAATGCTTTCTTCTCAATGTAACTCTAAGTCCAAAAAGTGAACCAAGTCATACTCAAAGAAACGAGGTATCAATTCCCAGTTGCTAAAATTACCCTGAAAGCGCCGAACGCTTTTAATGTCTACTTCTGCAAGTTCTTCCGGTTGACTATAAGCTTTAATTGCTTTGATGAGATCTTTCTTTAGGATTCTGCGCGTGTATATCAAAGGGTATGTGATTGGCTCGGACAGTCTGTAGAAGTTGATGATATGATTGACGTGGGAGATATCTGAACTGTTGTTGGCTAGCTCGAATTGATTGGACTAGTTCTGGGTTGGTGTGTAATTTGCGCTTTGGTGGTAGTAATGGAATGTTATACTGCTTGACAAAGTCGGCTAGAAACGATTTTTTAAATCGGTTAAAGGTCGAAAATAATGGTCTTGATTTGTGGCTGTTCATGTCTCTATTTATATATACATTTTATTTTTCCCCCTTTTTTTTCTTAAAGCCCTGTTTGATTTGACATATTTTTATTAAATACACCTATACTTAAGGCGGTTGCAAAATTGGGGAAGTCCCAGTGGGTCACGAGTTCAGTCACGCCTTGTTTGTGGAAAGTCCCCCGCGTGTCAAAGGTCATGTGTGTGTATGGAAAGTCCCCCGCGTGTCAAAGGTCAATGTGTGTGTGGAAAGTCTCCCCCCCCACGTGTGAATGGGGCCGACCGATGTAGTACAGGAGGGTTGAGTTGATGAAGCGTGGAGACAGGGTCAAACACAGTGGTTGGTCTCGAACTCTCTTATACCTACTACTACAGGTCAAATCATTGCTCCATGGTCGAATACCTCTACGATCAAGAGAATCTTCCGATCATCAGTAGGCCTATTAATATATAGATTACTCCAGTCTTAAGGTTCTGAAATGCAGTAGAGATATTGAACAAGATCAGACTGATAAAAAGAGGAAAGCAGCAATGTGATCAATAATTAGAATGTTACCACTTTAAGCGTCGACAAAGTTGATCAAAAGTGACTGGTTTTGTTTTAACACACCTCTTGCTGGTTCTTTATCCTGGTCGATTGAAGTACCATCACGTGTGGTTCACCCATGGACTTTATACATATTTGGCCATGTTGTAAATAAAGGCGAGGTTAACTCATCATTTTTTAAAGTTGAGAGTAGAAATGAAAGTGATGATTTGAAATGTCACGACAAATTAGTACCTGTCTGATGAATATTTTCAAATTTGTAATTAAATATAACAACATATACATACCTTATTGTTTTATATGGGCGACATTTATTGCGAAGGAGGCTTGGAGAGCAGCAATCTGATCTCATTCTAATAGACAGTTAGAATAAAACGGATGCAGGAAATACGATTGAAAATGGTGAAACAAAACGTATCATGGAGGAATTATTTCGTGTATTGAAGGGCGACATCGTGCAAAAACCATTAGAAAACAAGCTAGAAATCTCCTAAATTTGGTCTTGTTTGAAATGAACAAATCACATGTCAAGGGTGTAAACAGAATACGTTTCCAGTGAAACGTGCAAGGGAACGGTTGGTAGTTCCATCACAAGTCAAATTGCCAAGGCAATCTGTTAGTGTTATTCGAGTCAAAAATAACGGCTGATACGAGTGACAAAGGATTCCCTTCGCTTAGTTATTTCATTTGAACAGCTGCATGGAGACTTGCATGGAGCCTAGGGTAAGGACTTATAGGTTGGACTTGGAAGGCACGTGATGGTTTTTATGACAAATCTGTATGGTTGTATAGAGCCAATGATACCATGGAGATGATGATAGAAAGGATGTAGTGTTAATTTGCCCACGGACAGGGCTATTGGGTTACCACTACTCAATGTATAACACTTTCTTTTACATTGCTCAGCGTAACAATTTCACTTGCTACGTGGAAGATCCCAGAACTGACATCAAAAAGGGATACTATGTCATCGGTGCCTGCCCTCTAGACCAAACGACTCAGGACAGCAAAATACGCCAACGTTGCGAGAATGTCAACGAGAACGACTTCTTGTCCCGTGTCCTGGTCTCCGGGCGGAAGAACGACTTCCCATACTCCAACGTGCACTGCGCTCTCTGCTGGGGTGAGAAAACGTCCGACTTGGAGGCGTGGAGCGTGGCCGTCAGCTGTGAGTCGGAATCGGCCGACGCGTCCGTCACCCAGCTATTTTCCAACTCCACGGCCAAGAACACGCTAGATCTCGTAGAGCAGGTCCAGGGATGTCGCGTTACGATTCGACAGCCACAGATAGCTGGTGTCAGCCTGCGAGCGTGCTTTCTCGGCGAAGGGGGCACTTACATCGACCAATGCCCTCCTGGAAGCTTACTGGACGTTGCCTGCAAATCCTACACTGCAGTCAGTGTAGCCTCCCCTTTGATGAAGTACACAGTTGGTAAAAACCCACACTGTTTGGTGTGCAACAACCCTTCGTTGTTAAACACTGACTGCGACGAGTATTATCCCTTCGTTTACAGCGTCTTATTCGGAGGCCAGACACCTCCGTACGGCCCATCCCCAGTTCCGCCTCCGCTGTCAATCATCTTCGACTTCCGGTCCGGGGGCAACGTCAAGGTGGTGACGCAGGACGTCGTGATCTCAGAACAGCATGTGACCTGTCCAGCCAACGAGGTGTATGACCCATTCCTATCTGCGTGTCGCGTGCTGTCCTGCGGCAAAGGGTACGTCTTTGACGGCGACCAGTGCGTGAGGGAATCAAACCGACTCCGACCAACATCTGAACAAGATATAGTCGTCTACGTACATATCACAGCCTGCAACTTGACGGTTTCAGGGTCTGGTCTCGCACAGGACGTCGAGTTCAAGATGTGCCTGGGTGACCTCATTGGAGTCAATCAGAGTGATATTCAACAGTCGACCATGTCCCCAGCAGTAACCGATGTAAACTGCAACTCCACTAAGCAGCCAACAGTCCACCCACTCATGGTCTTGACAGACTGGGAGAGTTTCCTCACCTTCAGTCTTAAACTCGAGAAGATTGACGATGAGACATTGTGCCCAGGTGCTACTATCCTGTCCATTGAGGTAATTTATCACAGCGTGAATTTAACACTGAGTAGATGCAATGGGCGCTGGATTGACGAAACTTGCCTCTATCGAAACCAATTGCACTGGGCATACAGCAATACAACGTATGCCATTGGTGGCAGGATCCAACGTCAGGTGTATGAATCACTAGCAGTGACAGCTGGCTTTAGGAGGTGTTACAGTATCCAAATTTGCGATAATCCGGATCTCTCCTGCCTTCTTGAGACTTTCAATGGTTCCCTGTTTCACCAAAGTGCCGAAAACGCGACGTCCCTGGTGTACATTCCGACAGGGGATGTCTTCGATCGGGAGCAGTACATAGAGACCGCCGACGGGGAAATCCAGGTGTGCTCCTTCAATCAGCCGAACGGGACGCGCAATCGCACCCAATTCTTCACCTTATTCGAGTACTCGCCCGTGCAGCAAATTCTGAGCATCGTCGGGAACAGCATTTCCATGTTAGCTGCTGTCATCACATTTGTGACCTTCGCCGTCTTCAAAGAGCTCAGGAACCGCACCAGCAGTCCGATCATGAACTTCACGATTTCCCTGTTTCTGGCCCAGCTTATTTTTCAACTGATCGGGGTGGGGACTGGACATGAGGCAATCTGTACTGCCATCGCAGTCTTAGCGCATTATTTTTTCCTAGTCTCTGTCATGTGGACAGGAGTTTTGGCTTTCATTCTCCATAGGGCATTTGCAAAAACTAGACAATCAGCAGTCGAGCAGGGCCACCGTCGCGATGGAGTACTGCTGCCCGCCGCATTTGCCTGGGGCGTCCCCTTGGCCATCACCCTCTCGTGCTTGATTCTCCACCTGTGCGACTGCACCGATCTTCCCCTTCAGTACGGCAACAGTCAAATCTGCTGGATTGGGAACGGTTACGTCAACATTGTCGTGTTCGGAGTTCCCATTGGGATCGTCATATTGGCCAACGTTATCCTGTTCAGTTTCACCGTCCGTGGAATTTGGCAGACCAAGCGTGTTACCAAGGCTGTCCAGAGTAAATCTGAAATACAACAAGTGAAGGAAGAACTGGTCATTTACATAAAGGTAGGTGGATATTATCAAGAAGTTTTTTCAAAAATTGTTACAGTCTCGGCACTTCGGCACTGAACGTGTTGTAGCCAAAAGCTAATGGTATAAGCAAAACCAATCAATGAAGACGGACCACTTGCTTCTTAATCATATTAAATTTATCAGAAAAAAGGTGCTGTTCGATTGATCAGCTTGTAACTGAAAAGGTCAACAACTAATCAATAAAAAATAATCTAATAGCACCCAACTTGCAGACATTGTAAATCTTATAGTCAGAACACCTCAATCTTGAAATCATGAACCCATACCGAACTATGCGTCGGCCTTGCAGCGCAGATAGGTAACAAGCAGCACTCTTGATTGCACCTTTCCAGAAAGGTGGACCATTTCAGAACAAAGTTTCAAGTACATGTAAAAAGAAACTGCTATGGTCAACTTTGTATGCTGAAACTGATCGCCATGTTGAATGCTCAGGTCAGGAAGTACACATACTCATGAAAACGACCTCACACATGTATGATTAAGATTGCCTCAGACCGGAGTGTTCAGACTGAAAAAGTCAAGACGATTCTGGCTCAATGTCTCATAGGCTTATATATTTCTGGAGACTCTAAAAAAAGGAGTGTGGTAACATCGGTTCCTTCTTAAATGAAACCTGCTCTGTTAAAATGAGTATTTTCCCAATCAATTTCGTTTCGGTTGGCATTAACAGTAATCACAGCAAGAGAATCTTTTGTGATAAGTTTAATTTAGCATCCTGATGAAGATCTAGACATAAATAATGTCAGTGACAGATGTGGAGGGTTCCTACTACGTACACTTTAAATACATACAGAAGTCACATTGGCACTGGTGACTTGTGGTTCATTTTTGCAGAGCAGCACATTACACTGGCGGTCCCTTATCATAGTTACAATATGTTAATGTTAAGCGACACGTAGCACTTATGTCGTACCGATTCTTTGTGACAGATCTCAAGCCTGATGGGCTTCACGTGGATCACTGGCTTTGCCGCTGCCATCAGCGACGTCCCAGCTCTTTGGTACGTCTTCATCCTCCTCAATTCTTGCCAAGGTCTGCTCGTTTGCATCTCCTTTGTCTGCAATCGGCGAGTCTGGTGTCTCTGGCGGGACGGCCTGGGCAAGATGTGCGCCCGTGCGCGGGGACTGGACGCGGGCGAGAGCGATACAGGCACGCTGGTGACAGGGGTCAGCTCCAAAGCGGTCCAGCTAAGCATAATTAAGACCAAGCAATAGAGATTGCACCCAGCAACGTACAGAGGTATACATGGACACGACGTCCTGCAGCTGCAGACCAAGTATAAATTCCCAGTTTGTTCATGTCTGGGCCATAGTGTTACGAAGTCTTGCTTTGCTGAAGGCACCCATCAACACGTTGCAGTAGTGGTAGATCCAGATTTCTAGTTGGGAGGGGAACCAAAATGAGAGGCTTTTTCTTAAAAAAAATCCTATCCGTACATGAATCCCCACCCTTCTCCCAAAGCAAGGTGGTACAGTTTGGAGTGTTGGCAGCAGTGACTAAAAGAAAATAAATTGGCAAGGTACCTCTTGGGTTGGGGAGGGGCAACTTGCTTCCCCCATCCCATCCCCCAGTGGATATGCTACTTACCTTCCTGTCCAGAAAGGCTGGGCGGCAGGCTCGAGTCCACATCACTGGGTAACCACCTGATGGCTTGGAAATTGGATCAGTCATTTCGTTCTACGTTAATATCAACACGTAGGGTCGGAATCTGTGGCGTATCGTACATTTGGTTTTGAATTTGCCTCCGACACCAAAAGCTGATGGATACGTCACTGGTGTGAATGCACATTAGGGACGATTACATTCATAGTAAATACGTGTACTTCACAATCAAAACCGTTCAAATGGGTGGCCAAGTTTCCTCTGTCAAACAGTTTCTATCTGGTATACGACAGTCAACTGCGTATGATCGATATGATTGAGGCACGAACAAAAACAAACATTAACCCATTCCAATGTCGATATATCCAATTTTATTCGTAAAAAACAAAGTAACCCAACCCCAAACGTTTGTTCTTTCCAGTACGACTCTACGTACTCGGTTTGACATTCTGGGAAAATTGCACACATGCCAGTTTAAGGAGAACATAAAATCCTACACATTGAAAAGTGCATTGTAAAAATGTAATTCCTGATGTAGGACCGAGGAACACCTCCCCCCGACATTGTCTCAAACCAAATCGTGTCTTACAAATAACAACCACTGTCTTGGTATTCACAACGTATCAAACCAAATCGTGTCTTACAAATAACAACCACTGTCTTGGTATTCACAACGTATCAAACCAAATCGTGTCTTACAAATAACAACCACTGTCTTGATATTCACAACGTATGCTCGTGAATTAAACCAATCTTAGACCTTTTTAGAAATATGAACAGAAAATAAACCGGAACAATTATTGTTTGTGCGCTAACGTTCATTACGATGAGTGCTCAACCCCTAACTATATTACGGAAGAGCCTCATGAGGTTTTTGAGTTTACAACTTAAAGCGGTCAGATTTGGTGGACAATTTTAGCACATTATCGCATGACTAATCTCAAATATTTGAAGGCTAGTATGTTTCTGTTAAAAGTCTTTAAAAACTGAAGTACGAGTAAACTTGGTTCGTTATAATGTTAGAGCATAGGTATGGCGCCAGCATCGAACTAAACCTGCATCTGTCCGAGGTCAATTTCTAATACGTTATGGATATTTGTGATTACGTTGGACATTTCCAATTGTCATATTGATCCCAACTCATTTTCACACATTCTCTGTTGGTTAATGACCTTGGCTATATATTTCTCTGTTGAAACTCAAAGCCTATGTCAACATCCACTTTGCATGCGCCTCAAAAGGGACTCGGCTAGTTAAACGGTTAACAGAATTGAGGAAACCCTTGTGATCTTTGAGCCTCAATATAAGTTCACAAATAAAGCATTCCGGCAGTGTCAACAGACTGGGGTAATAACTACCCTGCTCATTTTGGTACATGTACAGGTGGGCTATTTTCCGTTCAAAGTCCATGGTCACTCTTAGATTCATAAACACATAGAACAGTGTGCACAGGGTAAATACAAACTAGTTCTCCTGGTGGTATGAGTGTCATGATCAAGGCGTTGTTTACTAAAGACACCGTTCCGAACGGCTAATTAACTGTTCAAATGCCGATAAATGAGGCCTTCTGATGTACATAACAAGCGAACACAGATGATACTTTGACAGAATGCTTTTGGTTGCAGTTGCTGTGTACAGAAAAGCCAGACAGCGTTGCTAAACATGCCCCCTATAGACCACTCTGATTTTGCCGACAATTTGTATGGGCAGAAATATCTTTTTGGTTTTTCAGTGCTACTTCAATTTTAGAATTTTGGGACTGTTAATTTTAAATAGGTTGTATTTTCATTTAGTATTTAGTAGTATGTGTATTATCTGGCAATCTGATAGCTGTGTGGGATTTCTAACACTCTGAATTATTTTATTTTGACATTTGTACTGATGGCCAACTATTGTTTTAAACTATTACCATCATATGGAAACTGCTTTTACAGTCATACTGTTTACGGACTGACATGCAACTTTAAAATCAGAAAAAGGGGTATTCTGAACTGTCTGAGACTTCGTGGGGCTTTCTGTTTTTTAAAATGTCTTCATTTGTAATGTTTATGTGCAAAAGTAATTGGTCCAAGGAAAAATTGAATGCCTGAACATAATTGTCTATTTCCTTTCAAGCAATTTTGAGTATTTGAAAATTTTATGTTCCTCCCTATTGGTTATGGCCAATTAGAACTCTAGCCAGTACTTGGTGTTTTCATTTAATTTGTTGGTATTCCTTACTCAACACTTTAATTTAAATGACTAAAAAAAATCAGGTACATGTCCTCAAAATTGTTCTTATTCTGTGAAACCAGGCCAAAAACATACAAAGCTATGTTAGGTTATAACTATCAATCTAAGGAACTGATTTTGACTGATCAATGGACTTCACTAGATTTAAAATTACTTGATCATAGAACAATGCCATGAAACAAATGATGCAAAAGCAGATAAAAACCTATTTTACGAAAATGAGGAAAATCAAACATCTGAAGAAGAAAAAAAATCTGAAATACTTTGAATCAAAACTGAATTAAAGGTCTCATGACCCGATGACATGGGCAATCCACATCCTCACAGAAAGTAATGGACCACATCTTTTCAAGCTGATTTTTAGAAATGGATGTCTGGTTTTTACATCTGAACTCTTCAAATGTAAAAACTCACAGTAAAAACTAATGTGCAGTAAGATATTGTAAACTTAAAAAGAACTGCATAAATGTTCATGTGTGCTCCTAGCAAATTAAGTCAGTAATTCAAATAATCAACAAAAAACTGTGCAAAGATTACAGTGTTTCTGGTTGAATTCTATACATTATTTGTCAAACACGGTATTGAGAGTCAATGTTGGTGTGGAAATACGAAAAAAAAAATGCTCGAAATTGGATGTGCAATTTTGGTCAATGCAAGTAATGACCTTGAATGTTGACCTTTCTACTGAAAGCTGGTCAAGTGATCAATGTCGGCGAACCAAATTACACTTCTGCATTGGTGAGTCAATATGAACAAAGTCTTAGCTACAGATGGACCGGACTTGTCCCACACCAAATGCTGCACGTGGACTTCAATGTAGAAGCTGAACAGTTCAGAACATTGTACATCTAATGCCACTGGGTGCTGTTCATCAACAGGTTTCTCCTGCAAAGACATACATATATCAAGAAAAAAGTAAGTTTTAATGAGCAGTTTTGAAATTATTATCCACCTGTGTGCTGGCAATTTGTTTTTACAAAGATTGTGCAAAAAGCTTTTGTCATCTGTGATGGGCTGATAAACTGTGAATACATATAATGGACTGACTGCACCCTAAGTCATGTGACCTATAGCAGGTATCAAATATCAACAAATATGGCATCCTCCCATAGCTAAAATTAAAGTGTGCCATATTTTCCAAAAATCAAGCTGATGGCCAGTACTGTACTGCGACTACACGTACTGATGTGCCGCATACTGTATCGAAAATCAGCTCCATTTTTGAATTAACACTTAAAACACACTTTGCTATGGGATTGATACCAACCAAAGACCACGACTTAGTGGGTGGAATAGGTCTTTTCAACCCAGGTCTCGCACATCTGTTGTTTTGAAGGGGGTAATTCAGTAGTGTAAAAGCTGTAGAGAGTTACTTGCGAGGTAGAATTAAAGTTTGTGTCAAAATACTGAAGCAGACATCAAGACTCAAGCCCTTGTCATTTAGCTGTTGAGCTACAAGTATTTACACATGTTCATAAAGCCTATGGGCACTGTCGTGTTTGTTGGAAAATGTTTATCTCCTAAAAGTTTATATCGTCACCAACACCACGAAGCAGCACTCAACAGTACTTGCGTAATGCTTCGTGAAAACCATGTTTACAACAATTTCGGTTTCACGAAGTAGCACTCAAGTGTGCGCGCGCACATCGTACAGTGATGCATAATCGAACGATTTTCGTTTTCACGAAGTAGCACTCGTGTGTTTTGTCAATATAGCATGTATAGAAACACTTCGAAAAGTAAAAAATTATTCAATTCGCCCGTAAATATGTGACTTAACAAGAAGATGCTCGTAAAAACTCATTTTAACTGTTTAAATTAAGGAAAAAAGTCATTTCCTGAAAACAACAACTCACGGAGCACGTGCTACTTGGTGAAAATGAAAATAACACATTTCTGTGAAATACGCCCTGAAGCAGCACACACGTCTACACGAGTACTACTTTGTGGTGTTGATGACGATATGTACGCTAATTATACCGAAATCTTCAGATGTGCTCACAGTGAAGAAAGGGGAATACCTCCTAAGATAGATGATTTCCTCTGTCATGATGAAGGATGCAAGTCCAGGACTAATCCACAGTCACCTAGGGTAGGATTATCTCAGTTTTTCCCTCCTAGTACATGCCATTGTACACCTGCAAAATAAACACTAGAGCCATTCATATCCCAGATGCTTGGTAATGACTGATTTATTTAGACCGCTGAGCAATTCAGACCCTGGATACTTGGAAAGGACTTGTTTATTCAGAGAGCTGACCATTCTGAAACCAACAAGCAGATGAATGATTTCAATGGTCCCTAGAGGGGTTAGGGTTAATCTGTGCACTAATAACTTGACACTCAGGTAAGTGGGGTTACAGTCTCTAGTGTAAGTCACTAATATGACCCACCCCCCTCAAAAAAGGGGAATCAGGGGCAACAGAACATTGAAAAGATGACTGATGTCAAGGTAATGACAATTTCAACTTAAATTCATGTTGTTACCAACTAGATTAGTTATCTTGAAACGTGGCTCTGTGTGTGAAGATGTTGAATGTAGAAATTTGAACCCTGGCACACCATGGCACACCTCCCCCCCTTCCCGACCCTACCCTCCCCCAAAGGGAAAGGTTTCTTGCTGTGCAAATGGTTAGCAGTTCAACACTTGTGTCCACAGGCAAGCAACTTGAACTTTGACAAAAAGAGGAAATTCCGAACTTTACAATACTCTGTACAGTGTTTTCCAATTTTCAACAGCATGAGTGTGAAGTGAAAACCAGGAAATCAACTGATCCAAAGAAAAGAGCCCGGGCCTGTGTCTATTTAACTTCGCACAGAAGAGCAGAAATGAATTTGTCGGCCCTTGCCACCATCAACTCGTACCTCAACACAGTAGCAAGCTGTTTGGGTTTTCATCAGCATCTTGCACAAGTCTTTCTCCAGCATTGATGACTGCTCTGTCAAAGTAATGGACCTGGACAATAAAAGGGGATACAATTAGTTCTTGTAACGTGCAGAGAAACAAAAGGGTCTGATAATTAAATAGAGATTCTCAAGAACATGTACAGTCAACTCTCGTTACAACAAAGTTGTATGGACCAGACAAATGACTTCGTTATAACCAGGACTTTTGTTATAAGAGTGGAAAAGCAAAGAAAAACGTAAGAATTCAAGAAAGTAGGATTCTCAGAATTTGGTCTTTATAAAGAGAGTCGACTATACAACTAACAGATAACAGATTCCATTGAATCCAAATTCAAAGACCCCAAGAAGTTTTAGACCTTTTCCAGTTCGCAAGTGCTAAAAATGTGGACTAGTGCATGCAGAGTACAGCCAACTCGAGACGTGTATATAAAATGCTCTACAGTAAAGTGCCAAACAGTGAACTGCAGGTAGGTCTTCAAGGTTTTATACAGCTGGTCCAAGGAATCTTCTCAAAAAGACTCCACTGTACACTCGTGCCGAGAGTCCTACTACCTCAATATTTTTAAATTATGGTCTTTGGAGTTCATATAAAGCAACAGACAGTGCCTGGATTTTAGGGACAATGACTTTCAAGTGGCCTCTCGTCTAAGGTTTGGGGAGCTTCAAAATTGCAAAACTAAAGCACACTTTGTCACCAGTAGATCAAAGGCTTTGTGAAAATGCTTGACAAATTCCTGGCAATGGACCCTGAGCAATAAACTTCGAGCAAGCGTAAGTATGGCACTTAGAATGGATCGCACACATTATTTCTGAACTGTTCTCTGCAGCAATAAGCCTCAACACGATAAAAAAGGAACAACATTGTTTGGGCTTTGTCTATGCTTCATCAAAAGTCAAAGACGTTTAAGGCAACACTCTGGAAAGTTATTGTACATCAACTCCTTGAGGCCGAGTTGTCACAAATCACCCCAGCTCTAGTCATGTCAGTGCTGGTTTTCTGTTATATCCGATGAGTCAATGTGCGATTGTGAAGTTTGAAACTGGGGATTAAAGAGGTTTCCTTGCAATGCCACTTAAGGGTAAAAAGGACCCCGAAAGAATGGACAACAAACTTTCTCATATGACTCATCTTGAATCATATCTTCCCCGACAATGAAAACAAGCCCCAGCCCCCCAGCCATGAAAACCACCTTTGGACCAGCAGAAAAATAAACCACTTTCATCTTGGTGTCAATTACGAAATTTCTTTCAGAGTTGTCAAGCCAAAATTATTGAGTAGATGAAGGCTTTCACTGCAGTTTCAAGTAAACTGGAAACAAAAATTTAAATTTCAGCCGGGACAGAAGTTGTTTATAGCAAGCACAACTGTTCCCAAATTGGTGGTACTCCTTTGAATACTGCAATATGATTGTATTTCCCCCCCAAACACCATTAAAATGATGGACACAAAATAGGAATCTCAGAAAACGGTTAGCTTACCTCAGACACTAAGCTGGAAAAAGTTTCAAACTTAAAGGTTTGACATAGAAAACTAGTAGTCCAGATGTATAGTTCATAGTTCAATAACAGTTTCTAAATAAACAGTCTGAACTAAGTATTCCACACTGAGAAATATGAAGTACATTTTATAAGTCACTAATACGAATGCTTCAACAAGTCACAATAATTCCATTTGTATACACTACCATTTATGCCGAGTTCTGTACATGTTGCGTGAATGGACTCTGGACGGTTCTACCTCCCCACCATCAAAAAATGACAAGGGAAACACTTGGAAAACTGACACTAGGCTGGTTGATATTATGGGTTTGTGCTCATTCTGATGAGAGCTGCATGTACGTGGCCAAGTGCTTGTGAACCAGTGGGAGGCATACTTGTATATACATGTACACCCCTGCACATGACCTCATGCAAGAGTACACTTTGGGTAAGCCATGAGTCAATAGAGTTTACTTGTGCTGCTTCTTGGGATTGCTACATGTAATCTCCACAGATTAAGAAACTCGGTACTGTAAAACTAGGCCCTGTGCAAGTTGGCCCACTGATGAATATTTCCCACTGCAGGAAAGTGATCCTTTTAACACTGAAAGCGATTCACATACTGCTCGCAGGTCAGCTTCAGTAAGTATGCAGCGCTTTAAATGCTACTGTGCTTCCAAGATGGCAGACATCCAGCAAGTGAGATTGATGCAAGCCGACGAAGTAGATTTTGAATGATTGCAGCATCCGAAGTGGATTTGAGTCATAAAAGCATAGACAATGCATGCTGATTGAGAGCAGTTAATATCGAATTGCTGTATAGAGCTGAGTGAGGCAATGTTGGCTTTTCCCTACAATGCAGTGCAAGTGATTGATTTCAGCCTTCTGGTGACAGAATTGCTCCCACTGCCCATGTGATTTTCAAAATACTTTTGCCCTTGTCACTTGAAATGGCAACAGACGGGCTGATTTCCTGAGGGCACTCGAAGCAGAATCTTTTTAGTACTGTGCACATGTACTTGACACACTCCACTTTTGTGTGTACACAGCTATACAAGTTGGCAGACCCTTGGTGTAAGGAACCCCACAAACTCCGGAGCACAACACTGTTGGGCTTACGAGCTGTGCAAATGAAAATGTCCGATTCCACATTTCTGCTTGAACTCAAGTCCCCCGCCCATTAAATTCCCTGCCATCAACAGTTTTTCTCCACTTGTAAAACCAACGTAACATTCATATGAAGTATTTCCAAGGCCGGTTGAACTTTGTCTATTTCACTGTGTCTTCAAAATGATCACATATTTATTGGATGTTTATCGTACTTAACAAAGCTCTTATGATAGTCTAGGATAACATTAAAACCCAGAAATACAAATATAGATATTTAGACTCAATAGCAAAAAATTAGCCAAAAATGAATTCCGCAAATAAAACAGTTAAAATGAAAAAAATGCAAGAACTCCTGAATATCTGGGATCACTGTGTACATAATACAAGTGTATGCATGGTGCACTGTTCACAAAACAGCTAACACAAAAACACGCTGGCTGATCTTCCTTATAGGTAAGAAATTAAAAAGGAGACTGAACAGTCGTATCTACACCCATTTAAAGTTTCTGAACACTTTTGTGGGGGGGGACACAAATGGACGAGAACTGGAGTAGGACGCCTGTACAGATTTTCCCCCTTGACTCTTCATTTTAAGCTGTCCGCCGTATCATACAAAAGCACTGTCCCCTCTGCAAGAACGCTGTGAGCGCATGGTGAAAAGCGCGCACTCGCCTGGACACAACACAGGCAAATTGCCCAACAAGCACCACTTCGCCCTACGGCGAGCACTACATGTACTTGTCAACTGCTGTGAGTTGCAATGGGTGAAAAGATCCCAAACAAGTTATAAACAAGCTACCAGTGAATGTAGAATCAAAACTCATAAGTTTACTGTAAGATTTTCGTATTTACAAGCATCACAAGTACGCTTAAAACATACCAAGAATTTTTTCTTCCACTTTTAAGAACTAATACAGGCACTAAGAATACATTGTACAAGTATCATTATTTACTTACAAACGTTCTTAGGGGCTGATAACTGGTAATGGGGGAATCAGAAGCTACAGTGCAAACAGAAAAAACACGGAATTTCTTTGGTTTGCTTAGACTGACAGCTGAGAAGTCTTTAGAATCAGCACCGAGGAAAATGACGATTTTGACCACCGGAACAAACCAAAATCCTCTGGGAATGAAACATATTCTTCATCTTCAAGATACTGCCGAGAAAAAAGTCTCATGTGGCCAATAATGCAAACCGAAGATTGCATTCTTGAATTACAGTCTGCTCAGCTAAAAATACCCATCGCAATGCATGCTCAGTGAGAGTCATTTCAGCATGAAGATGCCAGTTCTTTGCTTGCCAATAGCTTCCTGTTACTGGCTCTTGCAAAAATCTTCTCATAACGGTGTGACCAAAGCCAGTGTTGGGTCCAGATAAGATCATTTAAAAAGTAGCAAATCCAGGGTACAATAGCAATAGTTACAAACACAATAAATCCTGACGTGCACCTGTGACACCTAAGTGCCACTCATTAAAATTTCAGTGTTCATAGAAAACTGAAATTAACATTAGAGGATGAGCAGACGACTATGTCCTTTCGAAAATCAAACGTTTTTGCTAGGAATTTTTTATTTGAAACAGGATTTTGCTTGAATATATGTACAGACACTAACTAGCACTTGAATGATACCGAACTGTGATACACTTAAGATACTGCTGTTTGAAGCCGCGTAATTGGTGCAAACTTTACACCAATTAAAAAGCTCCAGAAGTAAATGGTAATATCTTAAAAACATATTAAATGTTCAAATGAAACTAGTATCTGACAGCTACTCTTTGACAAAAACTTTCATTACGAAGCAGCTTGTCGGACACATACACTGCCCTACTCAGGCAAGAAAACCTCAACAGTTGATTCCTTAGCTTTCTCAGACGGGCGGTAAATCCCCAAACCTCCTAAATGACTCTTCCTAGATCTGCAGCACAGGGTCTCTAGGTAAAATACATCCTTCATCAGGGCAGACCTAGGCAATGGGTAACAGGTCTACAAAGCCAGCCTAGTAGATGGGGGCCGATCGAGACAGAGAGACTCCTGCTGTATAGCGTTACAAAGAAGGCAAAGACAGACCTCAATAATCAGCAGGTCAAATAGAAACAAATCAAGTAGGTAAAACAGTAACAACGTGCCGTGGGCGTGAGATTCAGAAGTGAAGCGCAAGGTTTTGGAACGACGCACGGCTAACAGCTCTCGGGAGCAGATGAGACAGTGAACCCATTTGCTGACTGACACCCAAATTTGAAAAGGAGGCTGTGCACAACATTGTCCTAAATCTCCCAACGTCAGAGGTCTCTTACGTCACAAGAATGACTTTCACCAAACCAAACTTACACCTAAAGGTGGTGGCTAAACGTTTTCCGCAGGTCCACTTACAAATAAGGCTTCCGTTTTGGGTCTAAGTCTTTCATTGTTTTATCTTCCTCCTCACTTTACCCACTGCCTGCATTTGCAACAGGTGCTTGATTCTCGCTAAATCGTAGGTGTTCCAAAGCATCAGTCTCAACGCAAAGCTGACAAAAGTCACTTGTGAAAATCACGGCAACACAAAAAATTGAACAGTGTTCTTAAACAATAATCAGTGGTATGAAATTGGTTGCTCTGGGCCAAGCAATATAAAGAATTCGCATATATCAATTTTCTGTTAACTGTATTTTGGAATCCTTCAATGACGCATGTTAATGTGTTAATTTTAATTATGCCATTTCGTATAAGACATGTAAATGTAACTATCAAAGTTATATTCTGCACTGACTGAAAAAGGTAAACAACCTGGTCATCGGTGAGAAAGGCTAGTCGACAATATTTAAACGAGAGGAATGATCCCAAAGCCGCGTTCACATCCTCTTTCAGTTGGGAACTCAAGACTGACCCAATTCGTGTAGTTTTAGTCATTGTCAAGGTGGAACCATTCTTTAGACTTACTTCCACAATCAGTTCGTACTAATTCAAATACTGGAAGAGTCCGTAACTGGTGATTTGGGAATAAAATCCCTTCACGTTGGACTTCAACAGAAGAAAAGCAATAATGGGGTCAAAAAGCAAGCTGCATTGTAGATAGCAGCCAACTTCAGGCTGACAGAAGGGGGGAGAAGTCTAGTAACCAGACTTACCTTAGGTAATCAACTGGTGATGGGTTGGCAAAGTCTAATACGGGTTGCTGCGGTAACTGCCCCCGCCGCCACCCGTGCTGCCATAACCCCCAGTGCTACCCCCACCATAGCCACCGGTTCCCCCGCCGGTGCCGTAGCTACTTGAGCCGTTAGAGTAGCTACCTGTTCCATAACTGCTTCCGTAACTGCTTGCGCCTGTTGAGAGAGAATGTAGCTTTGTAATTATTGAGCTCTGCCAGAAGTGCTATAGACAAAGAAACTTCAGCAAATGACCTTCTTGCTGGAAAGTTTTGATGGAAAGTTTTCTAAGGAGGGCTCGACACTGCAGGATGTCTGACAGACAAGTTTGTTTAGCCACTGTCGGCCGTTATCCTCTGCACACCAAACATTATGAGCCAAGGGACAAATTATTCCTTATATTCTTCCCCCCGTCAGAGTTCACTGAATGCAGCTGCAAGAGGGCTGCTTACTGCAGCCCACAGTGGGGTCAACTTTACCGGCACTTCTTAGTAGAGATCATTGCCCAACACATTTTCTTACAAAGCGGCCACCCACCTCCATAGTTGCTTCTTCCACCGCCCCCTTTCATGGGTCCGTAGCTTGAGCTGCTCTGGCCATAGTTGGAACCGAAGCTGTCATAGCTACTGCCCCCGCTTCCGTACGAGTCACCATTGTAGGAGCTGTTTCCTCCCCCATATCCGCCATACCCGCTCCCTCCTCCGTAACTGCTGCCACCACTGCCATATCTGCTACCGCCACTGCTTCCAAATCCTTTGGATCATAGAAACATATTAATTCAACAGAAGTAATTTCATAACTGCAAAGTCTATGAGTTGTGCGACTTTGCTGTTTTACCACAAACCCTTCATACAACTTGTAATTCATGAAGCAACAATGTTTGAGACACAGTGATCCTCCCTAAAGTATTGAAACCAAGTCATGTCCCCCAAGTAAAGTCACAAGCCCCAAGTCTTTATGATTTCCAAGTCTATCTGAGGTCATAATTGGCATGGTACCTACATCCAAAAAACCTGATAGTGTCACATGTGATATTCTTAAAAGAAGGTCTGACCTGTCCCCCGACTATTTAATAAAATAAATTGCTACTTCAGATGATCGTCAGTACAATGAAAACGACAGGGTTTTTATTTAACATAGAGGCATTTTCTCTTTGATTTCATTCGAACCTTACTGTCAGTAAATGTAAAAAAACTGCATTCAAATCAAGTCATGAGTCACTTTTTTCAGTCACGTCTCGAGTCAAATCAATTGTGACTTGCATCTGAGTTGGCAACTCAAACCTACAACACTACCCCCAACGAATTTACAGAAACCTGGGAGAGGACTCACCTCCACCACCACCGCCACGGCCGCCACTTCTCCTGTATCCACCACCGCCACCCCCAAAACCACCACCACCACCGTAGCTGCCACCCCCGCTGCCGTAACCACCGCCGTAGCTCCGCCCACCACGACGACCATCACGCTCACCTTGTGGCATGGCCTTCTTGACGTAAAACTTGAACCCACTGAATTCATGGTCCCCTTGCACTGCAGGAGGAAAGTTTTCACGAGTTACAACTTCTGAAAACAGGGCAGTTAGGCCCTAACCCCCCCCAAAAAAAGTCTCCGGTTTCTGGTCAGCGTGCACATTGCCACAAACCTAAACAATGGCAGAAAAAAAAGTTTTTGATTTGGTATAAAATGATGTCCAAAGGCTGCCAAATTGCTTAACCCTCACATTCCCAAATCCTCCAATTTCAATACGATTTTACATACACCCTTGGGGGTTAGGGTTAATCGACTGGAATCCTGCTACTGCATTATTTTGACGTGTTTTGATGGGTACAGTTGAGTAATGTGAACAGTAAATAAGTCCCTCTAGTTCCCCATACATTTAGTCGGGCATACTTTTCTGATGATGTCATTTCTGTATTATACATTTACATCCGAGATTCAGACAAACAAGATGGTCTTATGTCCTGCGTACATGTACAAGCTGAAATGCTTTTAAACAATAAAACGTGCGGGGGCCATTCTATTTTAGTGTTGGTAGTGGCCGGCCTTATGTATGCATGTAGTGGCGATGGACATTGCGCATTATACATGCATCATTTCCAGAGATAAAAGTGAGGGTAAAATGGAACAAAAAAGCTGCGTCGCCATACCACTTTTGGAGCTGGCTCCCGACCAGAAATCATAAGACTTTTTTTGGCATTAGGTGGAATTGTTTTAGGGGGCTCTTTCATAATGATTCAGAGTGCTGCTAAGTGAAAACCAAAGACATCTGTTAAATGCATAAATACACGTAAGTCTGTTGAACCTTTCTGAACCCCAACTACGATCAATGATCGACAGTCCAAGGAACAATGATGAAGGCAAAAGAACACCTTGCACACCCAACCTTTCTGCGTCTTGCTGTGGACGCTGTACTTACAGACAAGCTTGTCCACGGCGTCCGTTTCCTCCAGCTCCACAAAGGCATACTTCTGCCTCTCCCCGGTATCCCGCGACGTAGGGATCTTGACGTTGGTCACCGTGCCATGCTGACCAAAGAAATCCTGCAAGTCCTGCTCCGACATCTGCATGGGCAAGTTCCCGATGTACATCTTCTTGACGGCTCTGGTGGACATGCTATCCTGTAAATTTGGTTCGATACAAAAGAAAATAAGCGGTTTAAAGCTACAAATTTTGCTGAATACTACAAACGCAAATTAGCACTGTCAGGAGGGCGGCAGAAACTGGTTAGCTACATGGCAAATAAGTGGTCTAGAAATAGTACTGGTCTGCAAAAATTATTTTTCAATGGCCATCAAGTCCCATCCATATTCAAGACAACTTTGTTTAAACTCAATTCCCTATTAACTTTGTTTAAACTCAATTCCCTATTCGCTTTGTGGTGTTGATCTTTCCGAATCTTTCAAAATCTTGAAGGACCCCATGGCAGGTTCTTTGTATTTTAAACTTCTGATGGGAACCAATTTCTATGCACTTTCCCTCCATCAATCATGGGAGACCCAGCACTATCTCTTGGAGGACTTTGAAGGAGGTGCACCAGTATAGTGCAAGGCTCTCACAACTAGGGCCAAAGCCAAGCCTGAGGCTTGGACATTACTTCCAGTAGTGCCTAGGAGTGGGTTTCTCATCCTCCTATTGGTTTTGTTTTGGATGAATGGTCAGATGGCTTTCACTGACTACTTCCAATGTAAAGGCTGCATAAAGTGATAGTATGTAAGGGTGCCTTGTTACATTGCGGGCGGGGCAGGAGGCTGGTTAGGAAAAAACGACAACTGGATTACCATAGAAGACAGTGGTATGGTAAAATCTAATAAAAACTCAGTTACAAATTACAACACTGAAGGCTTTGTTTGGGTCAAGTATACATCCCGTTCGTGAAGTCTTAAGTGTGGAACCCGTTTGGAAAGGTCTGCACCGGAGTGCAATCTTTAAAAATTCCTCCATCTGAAATTGATCTTTGTAATAACAGACATCAAGAAATCCGTACAGTGTAACTTTATCAAACATTCCCATGACAATTACCAAACACACTCGGATAAGATACTAAGTAGATGATGATCCAACGAGCACATTCATATACTTTTTTGAGTGGAAAGGGTCAATATTACCATTGTAGCTTCTATGCCACAAAGTGGACGTCTGTAGGCAGGCTGAAAACTAGGAGTAGGTATCTAAACTAATCAAAGGTGTGGGTGACACACAATGCCAACATTTCAAAGTTTACAAGCTGTAATTCCAATGGGCTTCTTTCCGTGCTTACTTCTGGCAAACAATTGGTTTTCACAAACCCACGAGGCTGGGGGCGAGAGGCCTACCAAACAGGCCCCTGGGGACATCACAAAGGGATTACTCACCCTCCATCTACCACCACCACCACCGCCACCGCCATCCCGTCCGCCTTGCGACTGGGTGAGAAATGAAGAGTTTATTGCAACAAGAGCATACAAACCAACCTGTCCTCCAACCTCCACTTCTCTGCTCAATGTCTAGGGCACGGGCGGGGGGCTGGGTGGGGCGGGTTGGGGCAGTGACACACAGCAAAGAGTCAGTAACATTTTGGGGCAGTATGAGGTGGTATGCAAGTGCATAAGCAGCTTGGCTACTCACAATCAACTTTGTGCAAAGACTACAAAACGCGACAGCTAACTGCACAAACACCACACTTGGCTACCTCTGTTGAAGGGAAAAAGCGTAATTTTTGCAAACCCCAAGAAAGATTTAAACAATATTTATCTGCAACTCTGTGTTTAGACACTGTCCTTGATTTGCCAGCAGTAACTCAGTTCCATGATGCATCATTCAAGTTCCACACATGGTGATTTATTTCAATAGCCGACTAAAAAGTCAGATTGTACATTTTTCTACTAGTTTAACCCTAACCCTACATGTAAATAATACCAAAAAATTACTACTTAGTAAAATGTAGCAAACAGCACTGTCACTTGCATGAGAACATGACCTTACTGTTCTCTGAAGCCATAAAATCCAATAGATAAGACAACGTACAATACAGTGCTGTGAAACTATGAATGCAGGACTTTACTGTTATCTGTAGGAATAAAAATGGAAGTGCCCTAGCCAGAGGCAGTGCTAGGTCCCTCAGGCTCAGACTACTACATAGTATTTTGTATTTTGTACTACCGAGTCCCGTTAGCCGAATCACAACGCCTGGGGGTTAGGGTTTATGCTTCATATTTTGCATTAGACTTTTGCTAACAAAGACTGTTATCTTCTAGGGTAGGTGGCATCAGTGCACATATTCAAACCTTTCAGGTTAAATTCCTAGAGTAAAATGACTCCCCCCGCCCCCCAAAAAATAAAATTAAATACACAAAACCTGAAAGTTTTAAATCAAAGCCAAAGTACAAAAAGCCCAAGCTGATTATGTTCTTCTGTTCCGAGAACCAGCTTTGAAAACCAACAACTATCCCACTAGCAAAATATGAAAACTTTCGGTTCCTAATCCTCCAACTCGTCAAGGATCAAAGATTATTCGGATTAACAACTTGAGCCATATTTGCAAACTTAAGAGAGAAGAAATGAATCCCCAGCAATGGCGAGAACTTGCATACAAACCTCCCTTGGGACTGCCCTCTTGACTTCCACGCTGTTGCCCATGAACTCTTGCCGGCCGTTGGTGTTCTTACTCAGTACCTTGTCCGTCTCCTCCACCGTGGACATGGTGACAAAGCCAAAGCCCTTGGACTCCTTGTTGGGCTTCCGGATTACCACCTGGTCTTCCACTGTGCCATACTGGCTGAAGAAGTCCCTGATGTCGTCATCGCTGGTGTCGCGGTGAAGACCGCCAAGGAACAGTTTCCTCATTTTTTCCTAGCAAAACACACCAAAAATACCCCAAAGAAATCAGTTCCAAAGATACATGTGCTGAGACTGCTGTTTGACACATGCACCTGAATCCCACAAAATGAGTACTGAGGCTATGCTTGAAACAATTTTGTTTGAGTTACATTACCCCTGACCCACTGACCTTTGGCAAGAAAACATCCTCATCCTCAGTGCTACACTGACATACAGTTTGAATCGCTACATAAAGAAGATGGGATACTGCGAGCTTGGCCATCAAAAGTGTTTCAATATTGAACAAAAAATTTCTGTTTTCTTCCTAGATGTTGGTTAACCTTGGAGCCACCATTGGAATCTTGGATTCCCACTGAATCCTTAAGTGTGTACATTAGACATTTTCAGGACTGTGGGGGGGGGGTGACTTCTGCGGATTTTGATTTTGGGTGCGACAATGTACAAACCGTTTTGAGTGATAACGATTAAGCCTAACAGTCCTCAGTCCTCCGACAGGTGAAGGATTGAGGACAATTAGGGTTAATGGAAGGGAAAGACTTTGAAGGGTACTTGGACGCGAACATGTCAAAATGTTAAAAAAGGCGATTTGTACAATCTAAGTTACTTGGACTCAACAGCCATTTCCCAGTTATGGATCGCGAAAATTATTCAGTTAGACTGCAGCTACAAAAAATCCTCAAATTCCAGTGATTTGTGGTCAGTAGTCTACCTGTGTTGGAAATATTACAGAATTATTTTCAAAATCTAAGGTTTTTATTTGGACTTACAGGATCAACGAAAGTGACACTTTTCCTTGTTCTGGATAGCAATAAAACCTTCACAACTATAAAGTGACCATGCGAGAAATCCAATTTTCAGCCAGAGCCATTGTAAGAAGCTGATTTTCTAATGAAGAATTTCTTAATTTAGAGTAAATCAGTCCATAAATAAGAAGTCCAATGAATAGAAAAGCAGAACTTGGGTACATTTTGGCTCAACCTTTTTAGCTGTACAGCGAGCTACCAGGCCCAATGATACTATCCCTGCACCACAGTTGACAAGCCCATTATGTCACATATAGGCCATGTCTTTATAGTTGTCTTGATGTTATATGTTATATAGGCCATATAGTTGAGTTGTGTGCACTTAATGCGTGATCGGAAAGTAGGAAAAACTATATATGCATTCACTTTTCAGCCAATTCTTGAAAAACAAATTCTACAAGTCACTTTAATTAAACAGATGTAAAAGTTTATTATATGACTATTGAGTATGAAACAGTATTTGGAATCACACAGTGACCTATCAGCCTGTAAAGATTTGTCTTTTTTTTGGCTTCCGTGATTTTACACAATTTTTTAGCCTAATGTTGAAGTGCGAATCGGATATCCAGCCAAAATTTCTTTTCTAGAAATTTTTTGAGAACCCCTTTTTTTTGGCCTACAAGAAACTTACATTTCATCTTTCAAACAGAACTAGTCCTGACGACGTATGTTTTTATTTCAGGCGATCCAGAACAAGGAAAATTTCTGACCTAGCTTAGGGTGGGCCAAAAAAGTCCCCCGAAAAAGAATAGGCCCCGGTCTATTCTCCGTAGTACTGAGTGTCATCTAATTATGGGCGGGAAAGAAGGTACGCTAGTTATGTTAACTGAAAATTCTCTCAAACTCGAAGCTGTTGTCCGACTTCCATGACTTCCCTCACAAACAATTCTGGCATCCAATCCAACCCATGGCCGAGCATCCAGTTGAATGTACATCCTGCCACGGAGGTAGAATTTCTACCTCTATGATCATACATGTGCCACCACGTGGTCAAGTGGTCAGCGTGAGAGCCCAAATAATACAAAAAATTCAAGCGCACAATCCACACGAAATACATTCTTATTGCATGATCTTTCTCTCACATAATAACACTAACGTTGTCTACAGTATGCAGGAAAGGTCTTCCAACATAAACCTGGCACTTTCAAGGGAACTTTTGGGTAATAGTTGCAAGGAGAAATTTACTTACGTCGCTTCTGTTTCGGTTCATGACGCTTTGAAAACTCTGGTCTTCCTTTGTACACGTACACGATCGACTCAACACGAAGACAGCGTACACGATAAAGAATGCATAGTGCAGAACCTATGCGCTTGCGTATTTCCTGCCCCTGCGGTGCGATTTGAGAGGCCGAGGGAAAACAAAGCCTTGGCGCATGCGTACACGGCAACATTTGATATTGATTGACACTTACTTTATTAACGTCACGCTTTGGCGGTAAAAATTAAGTTGCCACGAAGGTGTTCTCTTTCCAGAGGGTTAGCTCTTCCAGATGACAATATTAAAATTGTGCCAACGTGACTGGACATGGATGGAGAGAGGGGTTTGGGTTGTTTGGGGGACAATTAACGCGGCAGTTAGAGCCCATTCAGCTGTTTCCTAGGTTTGCTTGCTGTGTGATTTTACCATCCAACCCCCTTTTCCTCGCCAAGGCGGAGCCCCATCACTTCACTGTTTTCTCATGGCCATCATCAACTTGCCCTTGCCACAAGCAAGTGTACTAGTAGATGCGAAGGCTTACACACCCGCGAAAGCGTTCTATGTGCGGACGCCATGAATTATTCCCTACACTGACCTGTTAGCCACCAGAAAGCAGGCACATGCCCAGAAAAGGTCAATTGAGGAGGAAAAATACCAAGTCGCTAACCTAGAAAACACTTGGAATTTTTCAGACTTGTCTCATGAGGTTTGTACACACGGTGTTAAGCGGCGTCTGTATAAGAACTCTTTCCCTTGACATTTTATTAACCAAAGATCATTATACGTGAATTGAGGGAGTTGTTTTAGCCAACTCATTCACCTTTGGTCATTGAGGACCATTTTGTTTTAAATCTTCGCAGAGACGTCGTGGCCCTCGCGCCCTTGCCCTGTATTTATTTATTTGCAACCATTTAAAAACGGATTTTCGTGAAGGCGAAATTTCTTTTTTATGTTTATATTCGTGTTTCAAAAATGTTCCGATGTCCCCTTTTATAGTGGTGCAACAGCCAATGTGTGCATTCTTAAAAAGAATATTCTTTCTTATGATAGGAAAACAACTGCGCGACTACACGCCTATAGGATATTGTATTATGCACCAAAAGCGTCAGACACCAAAATGAAAATGGGGGCCGTTGCCAACCGTCCGTCAATGTCCTTTGTTATTTAAATGATGAAATAATTTTCACAATCTAATGTTCGTGTGATGCACTTCTTTAGAGGAGCATTTCCCAATCGGGGCTGAATAACCCGGCGATGGTTGAATGGAATCATTAATGAATCAGAACTTTTTCTTGGAAGTGGATAGGGAAATCTCTCAGGAATAGGCAGCGTCAGGATGCCAAAACCGGCACAATAGCAACCCCCGCTTTATATACCAGTCACAAAATGGGACAGAGGGGTACAAGTCCAATCCCCCCCCCACACACGCACAGCCTATTGTTACTTAAACGTCCCCCGAGGTGTCTGAAAAGAATTCCTGATATACCAGTATAACAATGACAAACACAAAGGCGCGGGGGGGGGTCTCTTTGTCCATGGAGGTGGGATTCTACCTCCATGCTCTGTCCACAGCTTGCATCATAAATGCCACTTTATGCCACGAAAATGGGGTCACTCACCAGGACGAATTCTTCATCACTACTTCCACCCTTTCAATGGTCAACCATTATTTGGAAATGCCCTTGCATTCTTAAGCTCTTCTAAACTTCAAATTGGGAGCCCACCCCATCCCTAGAAGTCTTGTCCCTCCCCACTGTCGATATAGGCCTTACCTACGAAAGTGACGCCACCTGTAGGATATAATGAGGCATTCAACACGTGAACGCAGTCAAGGGGGCTTCTATTATATGTGAAAACAGACGCAAAAACTAATCATTCAATTTTACCCGAGTACAACTATCATAATCTTAGCAAATGAAAGTCAAAGAGTCTGGTCTCCTCTGCTCGGTCCCACTTTTAACTCCAGTATCTAGTATTGTCGGAAAACGCATATTTTGGGTTCGGCTTTTGCTTATCTAGCATTTCAATCTGCATGGATCAATGACGCTTCTGTTTATACTCGATCTACAGTTTAAGTATTAAACCAACGTTTATAAAGCCACGTACTTCCAAACCTGAAATAAACAAAACCTGCGAATACGAACACAAATAAACAGTACTTTGAGCTGTGGACCGCTGTTACAGATTTCTCACAACACAATAAAATGATAGTTAAATCTGCTAAAGACAACTTTAAATAGTGGTCTTTCGGAATACTTTTAACATGTTAAATTTCGGGCACTGAAGTGTGAAAAATGCCGATTGTAATGCGTTTGACTTAGAGAGACTCGGTAACACATGTACTTAAATTTGTGAACAGAAAAAAACTCATATACCGAGACAAGTAACGGAATGGTACATTGTAACTGGGCCGATCCACGTTTGTTTACAAGGTCAATGAACTTTTCATTGTAACACTTTTTTGCCCTCTAACCAATTCTTCAGGTTTTTCCATAACCGTGGGAACCCTGAGACAATTACAAATGAGCTTTCAGAACTGAGCTGAATGAAAACGTAAAAAAAAAGACTACATACACAAAAACAACCCACCTTCCACTCAAACACGAAGACACACTACTGCGGCACATTTTGGGTCTTTTGCAATTTATTGACATCACTGAACTAGAACGTCACGAAAACGGAACTGTGTAATACTTACAAAAGAGTTCAACCAAATAATGAACATTTAAAGAGCTACAAAAATGACTGTCCGAAAAATATATCTATGCATGACTAGTACATATACATATAACAAAAAAGGGGGTTTTGCAGTGAATTTGGACTTCTGTACATAAACATCAATCCTTTTTCCCGCTAAAAAGTTCTTAAACCAGGAAAAAAATATTGGCAAATGGCAAGAGAGTTTGCTATAGAGTAGAATTATAGCAACAACTACTTACGATTGTGTGATGTGTTGAAACAGTGTACAACAGAATGACAACAGGCTAACAGGCATTCTACTATTTGAGTATGAAAATCACAATGAGGAAAAAAGTTCAGAATTCAACCCGAGAAAAATATCTGTAAGAACTAAATGATGTGATTTACTTTGGCCATGTCAATTTTTCAAGAAGTTACTTTTTTTTGTCAGAGATGTGACAACAGTGACTTCAAGGTGATGCTGGTTTAACTCTGAACTTTTTCTCGGAGGCAGTGCATAGCTGTGTCACAATCAACATTCTTTACAATGTCTTGTACAGTTCTTTTAAAAAGGCTGTTTTGGACAACAAAAATATAAGAAATTGCTGGAATTTTATGGATACAGAGACTCAAGTCAGAAGAAAGTTGGAGGCACTGTGAAAGGCATTTCACCTCAAGTCCCTGTGTGGTCTTCGGAGGGCTAGACAATGAAGAGTCACAATTCCTTAACTCATCCCCAGACTAGTGATGTCTTAGACCAAACCCTATCCGAAATGAGCCTTCAGGCTTAATTGCTCCCATAACTACAATTACTGCACTCGCGCTAGGACTTTCCCTAGCCACAGATGTGAACTGCCGACTTGAACACAGCCTTCAAGAGAATAACGTACACTGGGCTAATGACATGACCAATCTGGATGCAAAAATCACCTCATGCAGTGCTTGTTTCATCATTCCTAGCCAGACGTCTGATACTGTGCTCTTAAAAGTGCTCTTTAATATGTAACCATTAGTGCTTAAGGGCAGTAGCCGCTAACCAAAAAGTCTGCAGAGAACCACTCATGTGAGACGGCCATTTTTGACAGCTTTATGACACTAATCCAAGTGAATATAGGCAAGACAAGCGACTTTTTTTTGGTCAAAACCCACCTCTCTTAATTTTATTTGGTAGGGATCTCTTAGATCCTCCAGCAAAATCAAACACTTTAAAAGAAATCAATGGAGAATGCTTCGTAATTTGAACATTCAAAGGGCATATTCGTCAGATCAACCTCCTGGTGGTTTGTGAAGGATCTAGGAGGTAAGGGTAACTTCCACAGAGAATCTGCAAATGTTGCAATGCCCTCCATGCCAATAAGCACACTGCATGACTAGTGCTCAACTGGCGCACATGCTTTTGTGCATAGTACAAGACCTCTGGCAAAATTTGTATCCACCTCAAAATGTCTTCCGCCCAAAAATTTTAAAGGTAAGGCCACACACTGAAACTTACTTGGATGAGGTTCGATGAAGTTTGGGGGCAGAAATTAAAAACAGACTGATCTATAGATCTGACAAGTACATGATTGGAGTATGCTGCAACAGCCTTCATTTCAGCAATGCTGGAGACGGGTTATGCTCGGGCAATGGACCAAACCAGTAAGCCCCGCCCACTGCGCAGGTGGGCACTTAGCACATGCTCTTTTCCAAAGCCACATCATGCTTGTCGGACTTTTGTGCACGCATGTTGGATGTGGCTTTGATTGGTCAGAAAACAATGGGGCAGGGCTTAATGGACCAGTCCACTGTGAGTACCTACCACACTCGAAATGGTTAATTTATGGCCTGTTGGATGAAGTGGGGCCTGCTAAACCAGCCCTGGAGAACTCTCTGATGGTTACGTTGCTGTAATGTTCTACTTTACAAGTACCTTTTCTGCACAGGTATTTGGCAAACATGATGACACAACACTGCTTCGCTGTAAGAATAAATACGGCCATTTCCAAATCATGTGTCAAAGCTGCACACGTAAGATACTTTTGCCGATACCCTGTTGTGGAGTTGTTTACTTTGACTATGAGATGCAAATGAGGAATATTGTCCCATGTTGACACACAATGTCGGGCAAGATATACATGGCTAAGAACAAAGTTTTCCAGTGATGCATGTACTGCCAACGGCAGCTGGAGAAAATCAACACTTAAATTGGCCTCAGACATGACACTGGTTAGGTTGCATTTGAACGGGAGAGATGCTGAATTGTGCGGGACGTGTTTAATAGGCAAAATATATTCCACACATGTGCACAGTGTTATACAGAAAATTGAAGCCCTTTTGTTTCTTCGAGAGTTAAAATGCTAGACATGGGTCGCACCACCCTGGCACACTTAGCACAGGCAATTAAACCAAGCGAGTCTCGCAGTGCCTCTCAGTGGTTTAATCCACTGAACAAGGTTATTTTCTTCGTAGCATTTATGAGGATCAAGGGCCAAGACTATCGTATCTTCCTTGGTAACCTGCTTCCAATATGAGAAGCTATCAGAGTTGTGAAAATGGGGCCAGTGTTTTGATCTCACCACTTGCCACCCAACTACCTCTTACCAAATGTACCTGCCAAGCAACCTGCTGGAAACTGGTCACTGTTTATGTACAATGCACCGGTCAACATGACTACGGCTTATCTGGTCTATTAAAGGATGTGCTTGGTGCATTTTAAGCATTTTAAGCTACACTGTTTTTGTAATCACTGAGTGACAAGAGGATGCAGCCAACAGCAAATTATGGACAATATTCCTCATTCAAAATGTGTTCCTCTTTCCACCATTAGAATTCACTGCCACCGCTTACTATAATCAAAAACGAAAAGAAACCAGGTGACAAAAAAAGGACAAAAAAGCCGACACATCTTGCAATTTGTTTTTGTTTTTTTGCAGTAACCGACAGTTTTCCCCGCCCAATCATAGCGAATCACAGTACATGTACATAGTATATCACTAAACATTTCATTTTTCTCATCAATTACTTTTCCAATAAAGTACACCGCAATGAAAATGAAGGGAAAAGCCACGAGTCTTTTTTTCCGTTCACCAAAAAAGTTCGGTTGGAAGAATTTGACACAATTTTGGTTTCTGCTCAACAGTGTGCTGATCAGATATCCGAAATTTTTCTTCGGTACAGCAGTTTGACCACTTTCGACCCAAAAAATACAAAAGTGAATCTTTGGATTGAATTATTTACAATTGATAGGAAAAAACCAAGTTTACAGGATACAATAGCAGCAAGAATGAACATTCATTGGGCGTATGAATATTCATTATTGTCAGAAACTGTCAGCCAATGAAATGAATCATTACACTTTCAAACTGACTACTATGGTGCCACTGCTAGTTAGCATTCAAGACCCAATTTGACTCCTCAGACTATCTCAGTTTCTTGGACTCAAAAGTGACCTGTACTTACCTACGGTAAATAGTATTTTGGGGTTTTAGTAGGCACAAATTTATTTTTAACCCCACAAAATTGTACATCTACTTCCTACACAAATGAGCGCATGTCACAGTGGCATTTTCAATACCGTCTTTCGCTTTACACAGTAGCCTTTGAGGGCACTATTCTACGAGAGTTGGGTTACTTTTGAGCCCAAGGAGCTACTGCTCAAGATGCTGTGTGAGCCGACAGCTTGCCTTGCTCTGCAAGACTTCGGTGATCTAAAGCGTAATGGACTAGCCATTGTAAGACTTCGGTGATTTAAAGCGTAGTGGACTAGCCATTGCGTGCCAAGTATCATCAAACTGAAGGCACTAGTACAGGCTGCTGAATTTTCTGATGTCCTCACTGGACAGTCTGTGTGACATTTCAGAGGAGGGGGGGTATCAATGAACGTGGCCCTGCGGCACATTACCACTTCATGTCAGCACAGAGCTAGTTTGATTGAGAACTACTACTGGCTGGCCAAAGTCTGATCAATTCTGACCGAATGCAGACTAGCTGCTGGCTGACAATGGTTGGACTACCTCAGACACAACATGCAACGTTGGTGGCATTGTCACTGGTTACCGAAAGCTGCCCTATCGCAATGCACAACTGGGGAAACCAAGACCAACAAGCAGTGGTTGATGGCGTTTGACCCTTGCTGATTTCTGACTGTAGCATTTTGAAATCAGCATTCATCCATCAAGGACATCAGAAATTAACCGCTGGTATAACCAGTGGTCCTAGACTGAACTTGCTGTGTGCACATATAAAGGCTGCGGCTGGAAATGATGCATGTTTCTACAGTAGCCCATGACAAGTGGTTTCGGTATTTTTACCATAGACATGTGCAATACTCCTAGCCACAGCAAGTTAGTTGGGTGCATACATGTAGTCTCAGTTTGAAGGCTTGGGCAACCCCATATTTTAGGGCCGACTTCGATACCATAGACCCACAGCTTCCACATGTGCTGTCTTGTAATATGACTACATAAAATATATTATATAAAAAACCTCCAATTATTGTGTAACTTTGGGGATTTTTCCAGGAAGCAGACGATTATGTTTTATGCATCTATGAGAGGGAAAGATACTAAGAATTAACAAAGCAAACAAAATGAACGGGGGGGGGGAGGTTACAGTAATGCAGTTTTCACCATGTAGCTCTTAAGCGTCTTGCAGGAGGAAGCCTTGATGACTATGCAGTGGTGTTGATCTTTTGAGAGTCAAAAATTGCATCCTGCTGCTACTGTACTGTAAATATACACGCCCTCCACACACTCTGTTGGGTTGGAAAAAAGGGCAGAAATTGTTACCATTATACTCTTGAGGTGGTTGACCCTAACTCCTTAGATTGATTTACTAGGAACCTTCCTCATCCTTACAAATCCCAACACCACAGAGTAAACTGGGCACATAAACAGTTGGACTCTGTTTATTTGTGGTATGCTTTTTTTAAATCCTACTTAAAAACACACTCAGTCCACTCGTGCAGGACTCATCTTAACAGATTCTAACAGGCCCTGGTGTTGGAGTTTGGCTGGTTGGGGATCGTTAGGGTTAACTAGTGAGTAAACGAGTATCACAACTCACGCTTACAAATCCAAGGCAAGTGTCAAGAAGGTTTGCAGCATAAAAAGTCTGAGGTCACACATGCCCATTCATCTGAACATAGCTTTTCTTAGCAGCATTGAAAGAAATTTCGACTAATTTCAGAAAGGTAATGAAACGAAGACTTCTGCATATTACTCATGTATCGTCTGCAATTCCGAGAGTTTTTCTTAAATTAGCTAATGCCTTCATAAAAAACCTTACATCGCTCCAGGCTAGGGAAAATGAAGCTTTATTGGAGGCATGGTTGAGCCAGCACCGAGACTTCCAACCTTGTCTGGTCAAGACAGGTCTGCAATCCAATATCACAATGCTGCTGACCAGTCAATGATGTTTTGTAGACAATAGACCTAGCCGTGGCTCTGGAAGCCCGTTTCAGACACAGCCAGAGACTTCGGTTCTAGATTTGTGGTCCAAGATCACAACCAATATCCCAATCTCACTTGGTTTGCCTCTATCTTTTTGGATCCCTTTCTTTGCTGCTTCATTTTAAATTTCTTCCCTGCCACACCGTTGCAAATTAAAAGATAGCTCACTACAAAGAGTTTCCAACTAAGATGGAGGATACCCGTTCAAAATGAAAGCAGAACAAAAAATGTAACTTTGGAAACAAGAGAGAACTACGACAACCCCCATACCCTATGTAGCTTACCTGGCACAACAAAGCACTAAATGACATGTACCAAACTGGACTGAGATTCTATTACATGTAACCTAACTTCCCACTTATGCAGACTCACACTGTACAAGCATCCTTGCAGTTTTGTGGGCCATAGATTTAATCAAAGACAGTCCAGTTCAAGTGATCCGTCTTGAGGAATCTTTTTCTTTCAGTTCTTTATGCGCCCACTGTATACTTTAAGCTACATTCTTTGTGTTTGTCCATTGTTTTGCTGGAGAATGTTAGAGATTTTTAGTTCTAATAGTTTTGGGCGATTCCCTTTCAACCTCTGAAAGACATCATTTTCACCAAAGTATACACACCTAATGGAAAAGCCAAATTAAAGGGCCCATGGGAGGTTGGGGTTACAATGCCCAAGGATGGGCAATTTATAAAATCCTAGACAAAACCCTTCCCTACAGTAGTCCTGTCTAACATAGAACTTACCATACGACTGTGGAGAGGACCGGGGCTAATATCCCTTGTAGTTACCCCTGCCATATGCCCCTCCCCCACCATAGCTGCCCCCTCCTCCGTAACCAC